GTTTTGAGGGGTTGGCTTCGTTTTTTCTGCTCAGCTATTCCTGAGTGTCTGGGTGGTTTGGCCGCTTGTCAATTCCGTCAAAGGGTTCTTTTTTGAAAGCGAAACTAGTATGGTGATGTTTCGGTGCCTCATTATTTGATCTATGGGTCATCCCTTAAATTCTTCTGGAATTTTCAGTAGTATGGCAGGCAAAGCCCGTGTGAAATTTAGAGGTTTTAGAGTGATTTTTTGGGTTTTCTGAATCGAAAGTTTCGGGTTTTCTCGTTCTTTTCAGTCGGTAGCTCGATTTTTTTGGTCTTCAAGTTTTTTCAAGTTAGTCTCCCGGCTACAAACTCTTAGAATTGTTGCTTTCAGATCCGTAAGTAGGACAAGGTCGCTCCCGTTGTCTTCGGACACTGCCGCAGTTGAGATATATATCGGCATCTGTAAAATATTTCTCTCTTTGCTCCTTTCGACTGGTCCGGGTTGTTTCGATGGTTTATCCCAACCTATTGGCCCTAATGGAACAAGTAAGTAATTTCGCACCTTTTCCTGTTCTCTAAACAATGTCTCTCGTGAACTATTCAAAATCTGATTTCTTCTTTCAGTATCCAGCTTTTCAAATTTCGCCTTCATGTTCATTTTTTTAAACTCGTTTTGAATCCCACATTTTTAGCTGGCTTTTTCATGTGTCTATGTCCCTTTGTCACCTAAAACACTAAAAGCTGACCCTTATTGCGTGGACTCAGTTTTTTTGCTTCAATCTGGTTTTCCACGGATAAATCAGAATTACGGATAAGTTTGCCTCTCTCAAATGTACTAGCACGGTCCGTCTCTCTTATGATTTCCTTCTCAATTACTCTATAAAAAATTTTGCCCGTTTTCTTTTTCTGGAACTTTTCTATATGCAATTGGCCTATCCGAAGTGAAGAAAAAGATTCGCTACTCCCAAAGGTTTTTTCTTTTCTAGCGAGGAAGAACTTTGCTTGGAGTCCGGAGCTAGTTGGCACAAAATTCGTTGTGTTGGTTACATCCTCTGAGATTATTGTCATCAATATGTCCTTCCTCAATATGGTCAGAGGATTCCAAGTCATGTTTTTCTCTTGACATATTAACTTCTTACATCCATCTATTCATAACAAGGCTTTATTCAATTTCAGGTTATTTGATGAAAAACGTTTGACAAAGTTTTGCCATTTCGTTTTTTGTGTTCTACCGAAGTCTGCTTCAGAAGGCGAGCATTTGAACGGTTGCTGTGTTAAATTTTTGGTCGTTTTATGATTTTCAGCTCAGCTAGTGCCAGTGATGGTTTGGCCTTTGCGTGAGTCATGACCATTAATTGCTTTCGATAGTTCTAATTAGTCTTTCGACCAGTCCCGTACCTCTGTGATTGTCCACTGGGCTGAATATTACTTTACATTTGGCCTTGACAGAATTTTCTAACACTCTTTCAAATGAAATCCGACCCTTGGTCTTTTCAATTCCATTTAGCGCCATATAGTTTCCGAGAAAGTTTGTAACTGATTTTGACGAGGGGCTAGATAAAACTTGAGCGGAAAAAATCTGTCAATGCACACTAAAACATAATTGTTTGTCTCAAAATTAGAGGCAGGCGGCTGGCGAAATCTAATTCTATTTCTTGGTTTGCCTCTACGACCGATGGTAGTATACCCAGGCCTCCTACTGTTATTAGAGGTTTTAATCTGTTACCTGCTTTTACACACTCAATACAGTTTTTGCCATAAACTTGAATTTTCTGATAAACCTTTGGCTACCAGATGTATTGCATTGCTAGGTTTTCATGGCGAACTGTCCGGGGTTTGCTTCAACTTTAAATTTTGTTTTTTAGGAAGTTCCATGAAGTTTGTATCGAAGAACTCTGGTCAGGAGAATGGGAACAATTTGTGTTTTCAAATTTAGGGACTTAAGATGGTTCTAAAATTGAACTTAACATTGTCCTTTGCGAAAAAAAATTCTGCGACAGAAAAAGCTGTCTAGGATTATTTACAAGGGAGGTAATTTGGTTCTAAATGTTCGATTTGAACGGGCTTTTTTTAAAATTTCAGCACGTCTTCATTGGAAATCTAATTGTTTTGTGAGAGATGATTAGGAAAGAGTTATGACACACTGAAAAATTGGAACGAGCTGATAAGTTTACAAGACTTCTGCACCAATTTTATTTCAGCTTCTGGTTCTTTTTTTTCACTGTCTGTTGGCTGTTTTTTTTGCCAATCTAACTGGTTTAATTGGATAACCGACGCGGTAAACACTTTCAAACCATCCTACAAAAATGGTACAGGCTCACTCGTTGAATGTTTTGGTAGTTAATCAACAATACCTATTTCTTTAACCGGTAAACAATCTACGGTAAAATTGTAGGGTGAAAGGCCAACCAGTTAGACAAGGATGAGATTTTAAGTGTATTTTTTGTCTCTAAGGTCGGCTTTTCAAGTTTCGTGATCTGTGATGATTGAAATTTGTTAGTGCAGTGAATAGTTTTTAAAATGATTCAATGATCGAACTAATCCCAGGCATTCGAGTTTGTTCAGGCAATATTTTGATTCGGTGATTTTTAAAAATCTACTAGCAAACTTTTTTGGCTTTCAATTTCCCCCATTGTCCTGTTCTAGGTGTTAAGCATCGCATTTTAACCTCATTTTCAGTTTAGTTTTTAAAATGGTTGTTCTTAACTGCATTGCAGTTTTATCCATTAGTTTTTCTCAAAAGCTGTTTGTTGCGTCTTTAGCCAGTTCAATTGTTTGGTTTTTAACTGGAAGGTTAAATTCGGTATGAGCTTATTGAGTTTTTTGCTGGATTCCATTAAAGATGTTATTTCCTTATGCAGTTGCTAAGCTTTAAGTTTTGAGTCATGTCAGATTTATGAATCAAAGGTTGGTTCCCTTAGCCTCAATTTTCAAACCCATTCTTTCTATATTATGGGTTATAAACTGGCATTTATCCCATTTCATGGATAGAACTTCCTGGTATAAAGTCAATAATACGTTCGAAACTAGTTTACAGTGGGTCTACTAGCCCATAAAATCTTGTGTTAATTTGCCTCCTCTTATATTAAATTTCATAGCTCGCTTTTTTGATAGTGGCATTTGAATATATCCAAACTTCAAGTCAATTGATAAAAACCAGATTTTGTTTTCTTCATGACCACTAATCGTCCTGGCAACAATATCAATCAATTGAAACAATAGGTATTTGGTACCTATTACGAAATATTTTTTGTTCGAATCTCAGAAATTAAGGCCAAATTGATCAACCCATCTCTTCTCGCGGTCATGAGGATTGGGGATGTAAAGCAATCTTTCGAAGATCTACATAGTTTTGCAAAACTACTTCATAGAAAAAACTATAAGAGTTTCCCGAAGTGGTTGGTCAATACAATTTTTAACTTGTTCGAATAAGTGTTTGGGAATTAGTTTTCCCTGGACTCGTGTCGGTTTCAATTGATCGTTAAAACATGTTTTTAATTGAAAAAATTTTAGATCTACCATTTCTACAAATTTGATTCAGATTATTGTTTAATATATACTATTTAACTTCACGATGATGGGTTGTTTTGAAAATGTTGTTGCTACAAATATCTGACTCGAAATTGATTTTGTAAAATGCGTGCTGACGGGATTTTTCTTTTTGACTGTCCGAGTATTCGATTGTGCGGCTGGTGCCTAATGTTGAGAAACTTTGATTCCAAGATATTGCAAGGTATCACTTCCCAGCTTACTTTTCCGCCCCTTCGGTTATGAACAGTTTACATTTTCTAGCGTCCTATCAGTTCGATTGAGTTTCTACCCCCACCTTCTCGATCCTATTGTTATTGCTTCCTAACCCTTGGTAGGTCTCCTTGGTAAATTTCACAACTGCTTCAGTTTTTAATAGTCTTTCTCCTCGCTTGTGTTAGTGAAGTAAACCTTTTTTCATAAACTATACTGGTAGCTGAATCTATTTTCACCTCTGTAGTAAATGGGTTAACATTTCCAATCACCACGTGCAAGATTTTTCCTCAATTTGTTTCTATCGTGTGTAAAGTATGTTCTGATTCTCTTTTCAATGAAACTCTAAGAAATTTTGTTGTCGCTATCTTCAGTTCAAATTAAGATTTATCCAAGTTTACATCGAAATCGGGGTTTTCCTGAGGGTTGTACCAGTGTGATTGTTGACACCGTTTTTTGAGTTTGGTTCTAACACGTTTGGTTGGTTCGTGGCTGAACTTCTGCAGTGTTTAGTTAAATGGCTCTTATGAACACAGTTGTGACAATTTCTATCTCTAGCTGTGCATGTGGAAAGGTGTTTTTTCTGAATTGTTGACGGCAATTTTGGCTCTTGAGATTTTAATTTTCTTGATTTTAGGTTCGCTTTGAACCTGAAAGAGTTTTTGGACAAAGCTATTTACAGGACTTTTAAAATTTTGTTGATCTTTTTAATGCCTTTTTCTTGAACTAGAATGTATTCCAACGCATTTTCTGGGGTTGGAAACTTAAGGCACATTTTTGCTGGATGTTCCCAATTCTCATATTGGTAATGAAAACTTCTCTAATTATTTTTTCTTTTCAATGCTCCAATTTATATATTTTTTGCTAGTTTGGATAATTTTTTTTGATGACGTTCCTTATCTGTAACTCATGATATTTTGCATTGTCCTAAATGGTTTGCAGTTATCCTCATTATATACAAGAACTGCTCATTTGCTTATCTCTTCTCTCGCTCGGTTGCTTCCGCTGGTTTTCCTCATTATATACAAGAACTGCTCATTTGCTTATCTCTTCTCTCGCTCGGTTGCTTCCGCTGGTTTTCGTATTGGCTAGATCAACTCGTTTCTGATTGGTTGATTGGTTGGATTGGTTGGATAACACTTTCGATATCGACTGAACCTTTTGCACTGAAATTTTTTCGGACCGTTTTAACGAATTTTGTTGATTGTCGTTCGACGCTCGCTCCAAAAAAAGTTCTAAATTACGTACACTCGGCTCATTAGACTGCACCATGTTAAAAACTGAGATTAAGCTAGAATGTTAAGCAGCGAATCTAAGGCAGAGTTTAGGAGGTAATTTAAAGTAAGATTAGTTTAAAAGATGTTTCGGCTTAAAAGGGTAAAAACCATAACTAAAACTAGGACTAGTTTAAAGATCAGTTGCTTAAGCTTAATTAAAAGTTACGTTAGAATTACGAACAGTGACCGAAATCATTTAGATTCAGAAGCCGTTGCATTTTTGACAGGTATGTAAATTGACTTCGAAACATAATTGAGGTTGAAGGTTAAATTCATAAACTTCACATTTAGCTTAATCCATGATTTTTCAACAGTTTCTTTTTGATTAATAGATATTTTTCAGGGCTGTCAGAGGCAGGTATTGTGGCATGTGTACCACTACTAGCGTCACTCCGGGAGAAGAGAGATGTCATTTCAATTATGACTCCCTTATCAAGGATGCGGCACCGTCTAATTTAACCCAACAGTGTACCATGGATATAGGGCCAGGAGTTCCAGTCAATGAACCCTCGTGCTACGTCAACGAGGCCGGTAAGTTTGAAAAAAAACTGAAAAAAGTTTTTTTTAAAACTTATTAACTGCAGTAAAAGCTGCATCGATTCTTCTATCGTGAACTCATTCGTGCATGAGTGCATGAGTGTCCAGAATATATACTGAATTGAACCAGAGCTTCTGGTTTTTTTTTGTTAATTGAGGCGGCTGCACTGAAGCATTTGTGCAAAATAAACATTTAGTTTCATATATAAACCCGCCTGGCTCTTTTATCATTCCCCCACCTGCTATTTTTTAAGAATACTTTTTCTGTTCACAATCTCCTGTTACAAAAATTAGCATACGGACTGTTTAAGCTATAACAAACATAATTGGTTTTCATATCAGGGGCGGATCTAGGATTTTCTCGATGGGGTTGGCGGATTTTAAAAAATTCAGAAATATTGTCGACTTTTTTTAGGCCAGCCAAACTGATTTTTCCAGCGACCCCAGAACACTATAAAGACCCTATTTTAACAAAAAAATTTGCGCCACTGGAAAATTTGAGAAAAAAATGAGACAAAAATGCTGTTATCGGTGCACCCTTCAAGATAAGTATATATAAATGATAAGAGTGAAGTTTTAGGGTACATTTTAGAAAACACTTTAAGTCTCCACCCCCCCCCCCCCCCCTCCCCATCACCACCCTCTAAATTGACTGTACGATTGATTCATATACTCTTCTCATTGGCTGAAAGTTCAAACTTACGAGACAGCAAAAGCGAACATTCCACCTTTAAACTGGTGTGGTACAGTGTGGTAAATGGTGTGGTACAATGTTAATTTGATGCTCGAATTTCTCAAATTATATGAAATTTCAACCAAAAAGATAATTGTATCTTTGAGGACAAAATACTAATCATTTCAGGGACAGAAATTGCGCCTTGTGATCTGTAAGTGAACCATTGTCTAACCAACGATTGTGATACTGATATTTCATGATGGCATAAAACTAAACAATGTGTGGTGTTATGATAAAAAAAACCTCGAAAAGAAAGCGCGTATTAAGGATAGAGAATTAATCATAATGGGTCTTCATTTTAAAAACTCGATTTGCGAGAATTCAAATTTGCCCGTTTTTTCGAAATAATTTTAAAAAAATTATACGGATATTATGCTTTTTATGTTTCCTATTACATAATTAGACCATTTTATGTTTCTAGACATTTCATTTGTGAGAAAGACAAGATCTTTCTAAACTAGGCACCTAACCAATTTGAATTTTGCAGTTAAACCGGGCAAACAAAACAAAATATTCAGTGTTTTCGTTCCTTATTTTATATTTGAACACCCTTTCTTTCAATAATCTGCTTTTAAGATTCTTCAACGTGATCAGGGGCGGGTTAAAAAAAATCTTCCATCGGGGTTTTTGACTCCCGTACTACTCAAAAGTTTCCTTACTACTGTAAATGAACAATTACCTAACCTACGATTGTGAAACAAATATTTCATGAGAAAAAAAGAAAACTTGAAAACAAACTAAAGCAACTTATAAATGAATTAACGTCTAGATCAATGTCCTTTTAGAAACTACTCGTTTCTGTGTAGTTTGTAAAATCAGAAAACAGCCAAAAATTGCCTTAAAACTCTTTGTGTCCTTTTTGTGCTTTGGGTGTTTTTTAAGAAAACTTTTAATTCAGACCATTTTCCACTTTTTACTTAGTTTACTTTTGACGTAATTTTTCTTTATTGGCTGAAACCAGTTGACTGTCTAAGCATTGTCCGTTTATCTTATTTCCCCTCATTTAAATATGAGATATTTTGTTGAGCGAAGCTCTTTTTTTGAGACTGAAGGGCGTTTTTTGCGTCCAGAACTTTCACGTCAGTCTACTATTGCAATTCACACAAAAACACTGACGTACAGGGGATCGATTACACGATTTGATGATCGCAAAGTAGACGCTTTACCACTACGTTAAGTGCTAACCATGATTGCACTTCTGCTTTATCTGCTGGTTTACAAAAGATTCTGCTCCATAAGCCAGACTCAGTCTGGTGCTAGCTGAATCTTTTTTGGCCTGTTTGGTATACTACGTAAGCAAGTATTCAAAATAATTTACGGCTCTGTTGATCAAGATTGTGGTTTTTGGCTCTGTTGATCAAGATTGTGGTTTTTGGCTCCGGTTATTCATCAATCTGCTTTTTGTCTTTTAAATGAGCGGATTGCTGACGGAATGCAATTTGACAAAATTGACTGAAACTGATATCCTGAGCGCAAAACCACAAACAGTTTGGTCGGCTCATTTTCCCCGAGGGTTCGTTTTTGTTTTTCGGACTACTCTGACACATGTGAGATAATCATTTTGAGCTATTTCGCCAATTTTTCGGAAAGAGAAGAGTACATCTCAAACTGTATCGAATTAGAACTCCCTGTCAACCAAAATCACGCCAAAATACTGTTTTAAATTTTGCTTTAAAGCATGAAAAAAAATTATGATAAAAAATGTTTTTTTTTGAAATTATACTAATTGCTGAAAAACTTTTTCTCAGGCACCTTAACCGGCAGTCAAAGCAATTAGGGTTTTGCCCGGCTACTAGCAAGTATGATTGAACCTCAACCTTTTTTTTGGTCTTTATACTTATTCAGCCCAAATTTATTCTTTTTGAGTTTTTGTATTATTCAATGTTTAACCTAAATGATTGTTTTGCCTAGTTCAATAGCGATGACCTTTGCCGATTTTTAACATGACCGATTTTTGAGCAGGTTAATGGAGATCATTTTTCCAGGAGCTCTTTTTTTCTGGTATGCTTTTTTTGGGTCCACTTGAAACTCTGCTCCTATTTGCAAAATAAATTAAAATAGTAGGCCAAACATTATATTTTTTGAGAAAGTCGGCTTATTTAATAAAAGCCTACTAAAATTTTAATAAAAGTTTTGAGATTTTGCTGAAACTTGATTGGCTAATTCTAGCCAATCAGAATGAAGCAACATAGTTTCAGCTCAAGATTTTGAAACATTGATTTTTGGGCGGAATAAGTAAGAACGCCCTTTTTTCAAAGAAAGTCATACTTTTTCCTTACTTTTAAACTGACGGCTGCGTTTCAACCCACCTCGAAATAGTTGTCTTAAGCTAAACTGAGGCATGCTAAAATCTCACAATTGAACTACTAGTGCACAAAAACTTTAAAATAAATACTACTGTACTGTTGTTTACCCCCCTTGCGAGCAACAAACTCAAAATGGGATAAGTTATCCGGATGTGGGCAAGCAAATTAGCACACAAGTCTTTGTAGTGAAATAAAGTTTTGACTCATCAAAACAAGGTTTGGATAAAAATCAGCTTTCAATGTAATTTTGTATAACTTTTCAAAGTTATTTTGCATCAACTGTACAATCAAGTACGCATTTCGAACAAACGCTCACATAAAAGTGATTTTCATAATTTTAAAGTAAAATTGTGTTTCAATGCTGATAATTAACAAAAAAATATTTTTCAATCATTTTTTCCAATAAATTTTTGCTATATTAAAATTAGTTCCCGCAAAATTCACATTTTGCCCCTAAATCGATTTGGGGGAACAATGTACAGTTAATCCGTTATTTTTGTTATCTACTATAAAAAAATCAGCAAATTTTTTTAAAAAATTTATGCTATAAGTTCAATTCTACTCATGGTTAGATAACAAGTACAGGAATTGAAATTATTATTTTGCTTTTTTGCCATCCCACAATTCAACTTCAACCCTGTATGATTTATTATTGTGTCCAAGATTGCTTTGTTCTAATTTTCTAAAAAAAATTTCTAGCTTTTTGTCATTCTTACTTCGTTTCAAGATTTTTACTTGGATGTCTGTAATAAAATATTTGATAAAAATCAATCATGACCATAACTAAACGCTTAGTAAATATTGTACCGAAACCAGTATGAGACCAAGAAATTGCAAAATAATTTTAGGCTGAAAACAGATAGCGTGACGAATAACCGGTGTAATTTATTGAAATATTTTATGAGAAAGCACTTTGTACCTGTCTCAGTCGGTATTTATTTGAAATGTTTACTAATTTTTACGGTGTTTTTTGGCCAAATTTGACCATCAAAAGTTTTTTGATTGCCACGATAGCTTGAGTTCAAAATTCGATTTGTTTCTTTGCTTTTTTTCTTCAGAATTGAAACATGCTCTTGTATAATCTGCGTTTTGTCTGAGTTTTTGTGAAATTTAAGACAACAAGCGAAATAATTTGCGTTCAAAATAGTTTTTTTTAGTTCGAGGCAACTAATATTGATTCAAATTTCATTGTAAAGCAAACTTCATCAAAAACTACTAGACAATTAGCGTACTGTGACAAATTTTTCTTGAAAAAGAATCGAAACATGAAAAAATCTGAACATTTCGTTGGCAACGAAAAGTTATATAACAGTTCTTACTGAATTATGTCAGCCGAATGTTCGGAATGAAAGCTCAAAAAAAATTAAGTAGTGATTGAGTTTGAAATCTTAAGATTATTTTCTACAAACAACGACCTTAGTCAATTTACAAGGCAGCAGTGGTGTTCAAAATAATCTTGTCTTAAACCAGTTGTCTAATTGTTCCGACTTTCGTAACGAAAGTAACGGAATATTTGTGCTCGGGGTGGGTTTTTTTTCTTCAGACAAGTTTCGACTTTTTAACTAGCCATTTTTGACTTGCCAGATTTTTTTTTATAATTCGAAAAATGCTGTTGTTTTAAGCTGAAAATTGAAAAGATATTTCACCAGTGATTATTTTTCGTAAACCTACGGGGGTTTAAAGATTGCCATTTTGGCCAATTTGGGACAATTAACTTTTAGGACAAGGAGTTAATCCGTCTTAGAAATCGTTCCAAATTGATTGAAAGAAGCTCATTTGCCATAATTCATTTGTTAGAAGGAGCTAAATCTATCCTTTTGTACTTTATATGGCGTGTGGGGAGATGATTTTTGCAAAAATTTTAAATCAAAAAAAAATTTATTTTAACATATAATTTTTAAAGTTATTGCTGCTCTATAGACCTTAAAAGGCAGTCGGAACTTTCAGTGCCTCGCCCTGATACGAGCAGTCTTGTTCTTTTTATTGAACGATTTAACGAATTTTTGTAGTTGGTGTCTTTTTTGCAGGCCAACTATGTGTTCTCATTTAACAGTTTTTTAACACGATGTTCATGAAATTTCCATACCGTTAAGTTTGTAAGAAATAATAATGATTTAAGTTTAAATCATAGTGCAAGCAGCAAATTAATGCGGCTTAGATTTCATTCCAACTCAAATTGAATCAGGCCAGTTTGTATAAATAACTTTTTATAATTATTTTGCTTTGTGCTTAAAATGGCGTGTAATGGAATGACTATGCAAAAAAATTTTTGCATTTAAGTTCTTTAAAAAAATTTCCACAAACTTTTGTCATTTTTATTCAAAAACCCTTCAGAAATATTGTCCTGATACGAGTAGTTACTTTTTTGTTCAACAGTAATCAAATGCAAAATACCTTTTTTTTATGAAAGCATAATAGTGTTTTTGCGACCAGAATTTTTCTGAGCTTTTAGCACATTAACTGAAAAACTTGATTTGTTTCTTAGTATTTATGAGTTAACACCGTTGCATTGTTTTGTTCATCATGGGCTCACAGTTTTTCACATTAATCATTCTAGAGGAAGACTTTTTTAACTGTTATTTTCCTTCAATTACAGGACCAACAACGAATGTCAGCCATCGTGCATTACAGCCGAAAGGGGAGATGTCTGCATTTTCCCATATACTTTCCAGAATTCATCATTCAACGGGTGCATTCAAGGCTCAGTTGTAAGCAGAACACTTTTCAACGGGTCATCCGACTTCGTTTGTCCGACTCAATTCGACTTGCAGACTGGAGAATACTTCAACTTTCAGTTGTGCGGAGACATTGGAGGCACATGTGAAATCCAAGAGACACCGACTTGTTTCAGCGACCCGTGCAAAAACGGTGGAACTTGTCAGGAGACGGGAACTAATACCCCCGGCTATAATTGCGACTGCTCAACAGCAGCCAATTTTTTGGGGTTAAATTGTACTCTGGATGATCCATGCGTTCCAGATCCATGTAATGGAGGAAAATGCTCAGTGAGTGGGAGTGAATCTGTTGGATATACTTTTTCATGCGACTGTGCTAATGTAATAGACGGAATTGGAGAAACGTGTTCACAAGACAACCCCTGTGAACCTAACCCATGCAATAATGGTGGCGGCGGTACATGTCAAATCAGCGGCGTTGATCACAATTTTTCGTTCACTTGTAATTGTTTGACCAACGATTTTACCGGAGCGGTTTGCCTGGAAAACCCATGTGACCCTCATCCATGCAACGGTGGAAGTTGCTCAGTGAGTGGGAACGATGCTGTTGGATTTAGTTTTTCATGCGACTGCACTAATGTAATAGACGGAATTGGATTAACTTGTTCACAAGACAACCCTTGTGAACCTAACCCATGCGATAATGGTGGCGGCGGCACATGTCAAATCAGCGGCGTTGATCCCAATTTTTTGTTCACTTGTAATTGTTTGACCAACGATTTTACCGGAGCGGTTTGCCAGGATAACCCATGTGACCCTAATCCATGCAACGGTGGAAGTTGCTCAGTGAGTGGGAACGATGCTGTTGGATATACTTTTTCATGCGACTGCGCTAATGTAATAGACGGAATTGGATTAACTTGTTCACAAGACAACCCTTGTGAACCTAACCCATGCGATAATGGTGGCGGCGGCACATGTCAAATCAGCGGCGTTGATCCCAATTTTTTGTTCACTTGTAATTGTTTGACCAACGATTTTACCGGAGCGGTTTGCCAGGATAACCCATGTGACCCTAATCCATGCAACGGTGGAAGTTGCTCAGTGAGTGGGAACGATGCTGTTGGATATACTTTTTCATGCGACTGTGCTAATGTAATAGACGGAATTGGAGAAACGTGTTCACAAGACAACCCCTGTGAACCTAACCCATGCAATAATGGTGGCGGCGGTACATGTCAAATCAGCGGCGTTGATCACAATTTTTCGTTCACTTGTAATTGTTTGACCAACGATTTTACCGGAGCGGTTTGCCTGGAAAACCCATGTGACCCTCATCCATGCAACGGTGGAAGTTGCTCAGTGAGTGGGAACGATGCTGTTGGATTTAGTTTTTCATGCGACTGCACTAATGTAATAGACGGAATTGGATTAACTTGTTCACAAGACAACCCTTGTGAACCTAACCCATGCGATAATGGTGGCGGCGGCACATGTCAAATCAGCGGCGTTGATCCCAATTTTTTGTTCACTTGTAATTGTTTGACCAACGATTTTACCGGAGCGGTTTGCCAGGATAACCCATGTGACCCTAATCCATGCAACGGTGGAAGTTGCTCAGTGAGTGGGAACGATGCTGTTGGATATACTTTTTCATGCGACTGCGCTAATGTAATAGACGGAATTGGATTAACTTGTTCACAAGACAACCCTTGTGAACCTAACCCATGCGATAATGGTGGCGGCGGCACATGTCAAATCAGCGGCGTTGATCCCAATTTTTTGTTCACTTGTAATTGTTTGACCAACGATTTTACCGGAGCGGTTTGCCAGGATAACCCATGTGACCCTAATCCATGCAACGGTGGAAGTTGCTCAGTGAGTGGGAACGATGCTGTTGGATATACTTTTTCATGCGACTGCGCTAATGTAATAGACGGAATTGGATTAACTTGTTCACAAGACAACCCTTGTGAACCTAACCCATGCGATAATGGTGGCGGCGGCACATGTCAAATCAGCGGCGTTGATCCCAATTTTTTGTTCACTTGTAATTGTTTGACCAACGATTTTACCGGAGCGGTTTGCCAGGATAACCCATGTGACCCTAATCCATGCAACGGTGGAAGTTGCTCAGTGAGTTGGAACGATGCTGTTGGATATACTTTTTCATGCGACTGCGCTAATGTAATAGACGGAATTGGATTAACTTGTTCACAAGACAACCCTTGTGAACCTAACCCATGCGATAATGGTGGCGGCGGCACATGTCAAATCAGCGGCGTTGATCCCAATTTTTTGTTCACTTGTAATTGTTTGACCAACGATTTTACCGGAGCGGTTTGCCAGGATAACCCATGTGACCCTAATTCATGCAACGGTGGAAGTTGCTCAGTGAGTGGGAACGATGCTGTTGGATATACTTTTTCATGCGACTGCGCTAATGTAATAGACGGAATTGGATTAACTTGTTCACAAGACAACCCTTGTGAACCTAACCCATGCGATAATGGTGGCGGCGGCACATGTCAAATCAGCGGCGTTGATCCCAATTTTTTGTTCACTTGTAATTGTTTGACCAACGATTTTACCGGAGCGGTTTGCCAGGATAACCCATGTGACCCTAATCCATGCAACGGTGGAAGTTGCTCAGTGAGTGGGAACGATGCTGTTGGATATACTTTTTCATGCGACTGCGCTAATTTAATAGACGGAATTGGATTAACTTGTTCACAAGACAACCCTTGTGAACCTAACCCATGCAATAATGGTGGCGGCGGTACATGTCAAATCAGCGGCGTTGATCACAACTTTTCGTTCACTTGTAATTGTTTGACCAACGATTTTACCGGAGCGGTTTGCCTGGAAAACCCATGTGACCCTCATCCATGCAACGGTGGAAGTTGCTCAGTGAGTGGGAACGATGCTGTTGGATTTAGTTTTTCATGCGACTGCACTAATGTAATAGACGGAATTGGATTAACTTGTTCACAAGACAACCCTTGTGAACCTAACCCATGCGATAATGGTGGCGGCGGCACATGTCAAATCAGCGGCGTTGATCCCAATTTTTTGTTCACTTGTAATTGTTTGACCAACGATTTTACCGGAGCGGTTTGCCAGGATAACCCATGTGACCCTAATCCATGCAACGGTGGAAGTTGCTCAGTGAGTGGGAACGATGCTGTTGGATATACTTTTTCATGCGACTGCGCTAATGTAATAGACGGAATTGGATTAACTTGTTCACAAGACAACCCTTGTGAACCTAACCCATGCGATAATGGTGGCGGCGGCACATGTCAAATCAGCGGCGTTGATCCCAATTTTTTGTTCACTTGTAATTGTTTGACCAACGATTTTACCGGAGCGGTTTGCCAGGATAACCCATGTGACCCTAATCCATGCAACGGTGGAAGTTGCTCAGTGAGTGGGAACGATGCTGTTGGATATACTTTTTCATGCGACTGCGCTAATGTAATAGACGGAATTGGATTAACTTGTTCACAAGACAACCCTTGTGAACCTAACCCATGCGATAATGGTGGCGGCGGCACATGTCAAATCAGCGGCGTTGATCCCAATTTTTTGTTCACTTGTAATTGTTTGACCAACGATTTTACCGGAGCGGTTTGCCAGGATAACCCATGTGACCCTAATCCATGCAACGGTGGAAGTTGCTCAGTGAGTGGGAACGATGCTGTTGGATATACTTTTTCATGCGACTGCGCTAATGTAATAGACGGAATTGGATTAACTTGTTCACAAGACAACCCTTGTGAACCTAACCCATGCGATAATGGTGGCGGCGGCACATGTCAAATCAGCGGCGTTGATCCCAATTTTTTGTTCACTTGTAATTGTTTGACCAACGATTTTACCGGAGCGGTTTGCCAGGATAACCCATGTGACCCTAATCCATGCAACGGTGGAAGTTGCTCAGTGAGTGGGAACGATGCTGTTGGATATACTTTTTCATGCGACTGCGCTAATGTAATAGACGGAATTGGATTAACTTGTTCACAAGACAACCCCTGTGAACCTAACCCATGCAATAATGGTGGCGGCGGCACATGTCAAATCAGCGGCGTTGATCCCAATTTTTTGTTCACTTGTAATTGTTTGACCAACGATTTTACCGGAGCGGTTTGCCAGGATAACCCATGTGACCCTAATCCATGCAACGGTGGAAGTTGCTCAGTGAGTGGGAACGATGCTGTTGGATATACTTTTTCATGCGACTGCGCTAATGTAATAGACGGAATTGGAGAAATGTGTTCACAAGACAACCCTTGTGAACCTAACCCATGCGATAATGGTGGCGGCGGCACATGTCAAATCAGCGGCGTTGATCCCAATTTTTTGTTCACTTGTAATTGTTTGACCAACGATTTTACCGGAGCGGTTTGCCAGGATAACCTATGTGACCCTAATCCATGCAACGGTGGAAGTTGCTCAGTGACTGGGAATGATGCTGTTGGATATACTTTTTCGTGCGACTGCGCTAATGTAATAGACGGAATTGGAGAAACGTGTTCAATAGACAATCCTTGTGTTCCTAACCCGTGCGATAAGGGTACATGTGAAATAACTGGCACGAACGGTGACTTCTCGCCAACTTGTATGTGCTATAACTGCAGCACAGTGATCGGGGCGACAACTTCAACAATCGAAACGCTGCCTCAGAATACCAGCGAATCAATGCCATTAACCACGACGTCCTTCGAAACATTGACCGACGAGGAATCGAACAAGTTCAACATGCTCTATGTGTACATCGGCTGTGGGATTGTTGCGTTTCTTGTTATTGCTGTAGCAGTGAACACTGTGTTCTGCTTTTTTTTCAGACGAAGTCAATTGGCAACAAATCACATTAAAAAAAGGTGAGAGTGCACACTAGTTATACAATTTTTTTCAGCATGTAATTTTATTTGTGATTTCTAAAAATGCTTAGAATGTAAGGGATTGTAAATTAGTTAAATTAAACTAATACTGGAAAATCTAGATTTCAGCTAATTGAGAAAACTGCCTTAGATGTTAAAATTTTTAATTTTTCTGCTCATAATTTTTGGAATTGTTGTGTTTTCTTTAAGTTTCTTTGAAAGTTTTTTGAGAAATCTTTGATATCTTTGAATCTTTTTTGGCAAAGACTTCCCAAGATAGGCAAAATGATCTTCGAGATTTAGCTAAACTTTTTAGTTATATTTCAAAAATATCAAAACATTGGACGACCTTGCGAAAGCACAGCTTGAATCAATAAAGTTTATATTGCTTGTTAGCTATCTGAGTTGTTAGCTAGGTAAGAACGTACTTCCTGTTTTGCGGATTTTTTTTTCAAAGAAACCATCTGATAAACACCTATAATTTTTGTATTTTATTTAGGTTAAACTATCTATCTAGCTGGAGAACACTGTTTTCACCTGTTCAAGTTCTCACTAGATTAGCAGAATATTCATGTCAAAATCCAAAATGTCAAATTTGAATATTTAACCAATTTTTCTTGAGAGTTTATACAGTACCTCAGCTGTTAACCATCAGAATTACATACTAAAAAGACCGTGTCGAGCTAAGAAACGTTGGGTAGGTTGGTCATAATTTGCCAATCAGAAATTCCGTATTTATAAAGCAACAAAAAATTTTAGAAGATAGCAAATGTTCCAGATTAATAAAAATTAGTCGAAAGCAATCGTGCCGATGCGTGATGCGTGCATAATGGAAATACAGACACGAGCTGTTTAAGAAAAACCCACCGTTTTTTTGACGCAAAGCGACGATGCGCCATAAGATATCCCACTAGGTCATAATATTATGGTTTTTGGTACTTGTTCTTTGTTTTTCTGACTGTCAAAAACCCTGACGGATATTTTATACTGGGACTGGTTTTCTCTCTTGATTTGAGGATTTAGATGTTCTGAGGAAGTTTTTTATTCTTTTCAAAATAATATTGATACTCAAAGCTCACAATTGAAGTCGTTTGTTCCTTTGTGATTATTTTTTGGAATGTTTTAGGGATTAGAAAACTTCCAATTGGTCAATGTGAAATTTATTTATTGCAAACTGAGAAAGCTGCCTTAAATATTCAAATTTTTAATTTTTCTGTTCATAATTTTTGGAATTGTTGTATTTTCTTTAAAATTCTTTGAAAGCTCTTGAGAAAGAAACTTTTGATATATTCGAATCCTTTTTGGCAAAGAATTCCCAAAATAAGGAAAGTGATCGAGATTTAGTCAGAATTTTTAGTTATATTTCAGAAAAATCAAAACACTGGACAACCTTAGGAAAGCACAGCTTGAATCAATAAAGTTTTTATTGCTTGTTAGCTATCTGAGTTGTTAGCTAGGTAAGAACGTACTTCTTGTTTGGCGGATTTTTTTTTTCAAAGAAACCATCTGATAAAGACCTATAATTTTTGTATTTTATTTAGGTTAAACTATCTATCTAGCTGGAGAACACTGTTTTCACCTGTTCAAGTTCTCACTAGATTAGCAGATTATTCATATCAAAATCCAAAATGTCAAATTTGAATATTTAACTTTTCATCAGATTTTTTATTGGTGAGTACCCACGGAGCCGCATTCCCGGATAGCCAGCCCAAAAAAACTAAATACCTCCGGTTTTAGCTAAATTAAATAAGAAAAATTATTAGTAAGCTGAATCTAATTTTGATAGGACAAGAAATACCTCAAGTCTTGCAGCTTGTTAACTAACAAGTCTCCGAAAACCTTTTAAAAAATTGATTAGCCAAAACGTTTTTTTTTTTTTTTCTAACTATTTTGATCCATGGGTAATAATCGATTTTCGTGGTCGAAAACAATGTCATGATAATCCACTGTAATTGCACTTTGAGACCGCATCACATTTAGGCCACCGATCCCACCAACCCCCGCGCTTCTCTTCAATTACACTCCCCCAAGCCCCAACTCCCCTCCAAAATTACCTTCTTCTAGGGATGTAATAAGGAGGTGGGGGTAATGCGTGTAATGTGGAGAAAGTGGGAGGAGACAAAGGAAAATGGGACTAGTTCTGGGGTAAGTTGGGGAGGGGGTACCTCAAACATCTTTTGAGCTATCCCTTCGGGGGGGGGGGGGGTTGGTGGGATCGGTGGCTTAAAACACTATAGAACCGACAATACCCTATAAAAGTAAATAATGAAGAAATTTGTGTAGATTAGTGTTTGTCGGTTATATAGTGCGTTTGTAATATGTAATATGGTCAATAAAAATTCAACGGTGGATCAACCGTACAACCTGACCCTCCGAAGTCGCCTACCATAGAATGCCCTCTCCGCAAGCATGTTTTAAATCTGCAAAAAAAATTCTGTATAAAATAAGCAATTGATACAAACGCGCAAATATGAATTACTTCTTACATTTTTATGCGATATTGCATTTGTAAGCTATTAATTACATAAATTAAGGCCTTAATTCAAATTTTTTTTCGGTAATACAGTTATTTTTGAACAAATCCAGGCTATAAAAAAGACATGATTTATCCCCATAAGTTAATTATATTATGGGGAGGACGAATTGTACAGATGGTCCTCAACGAGGCTCTTTTTCCTTCCCCCCCACCTCACATAAGTATAGACTTCATGGTGTAACGAGTGGTTTTACAAGGTTGAGTATGAAGACTAAATATGTTTGTCAGGGCCTAAATAGTCCGTATGCCAAATTTGATAACAATCCGACAATTTGAACAAAAAAATTACTCTAAAAAATTTGCAGGTGGGGGGAAAAGGAAAAAGAGCCCTCAACGGCTATCCGGGGAAACAAAAAAAACTTTCGGCTATAAGCAGGGGCGGATCTAGGATTTTCTCGAGGGGGGGGGCGGATTTTCAAAAAAAATTCCAAAATTTTGACGACCTTTTTTTAAGGTCGACCAAATTGATTTTTCGAGCTCTCCTATAGCACTGTTTTGCCCCTAGTTAGTCAAAAATTTCTGCGCCGCAGGCAAATTTTTGAAAAAACAGTCAAAAGCCGTTTTTGGGCATTTTTTGGAAATTTTACACAAAAAAAATTGCGTTTTTTTTGAAGCACGCTCCCCGTCAAAGTTAATATATATTGGCGCCAAAGGCGCCTTTGGAAAAATTTTAGGTCGGTCGGCCAAAAATGGATTTCTGAAGAAGTATCAAAGGGGGACCCTTTGGGTCGGCAAGGGGTCGAATCCCCGAAGAAGGGGGCGTCCGCCCCCCTCCCCCCCCTAAATCCGCCCCTGGCTATACGGGAACAATATTATTTTCAAGACTATTCGGTAACGATTTTGTTTTTCGCCCATCCGGGAAGGAATTTATTTTTTCTCGGCTATTTGGCGACTCAGCTCAGTGACATGCCAACTTCCGGGATAAGTTAACATCCTCCTCCCTGAACACGTTTAGGGGGAGGATATTAACTTGGTTCTAAGTGCTCTAAGAGGATGCTAGCTTGATCCGCCCTTTCTATTGCCGCAAAACGCACGTGGAAAATTAAACTGGACTAGTAATTATTCCAAACACAATTGAGTCAAATTTATTGATCCTAACTTTCTGTTACAAGACAAAAATCAAGTTCTTCTTGTCATCAAAGAAGCTGGACAACTAAATTTTGAAAAAAGATTTCAAATGAACAATTTCTCGAGGGGGGGGGGGGGGGGGGGATTTTCTCGAGGGGGGGGGGGCGGATTTTTAAAAAATTTCCAAAATTTTGACGACCTTTTTTTTAGATCGACTAAATTGATTTTTCGAGCTCTCCTATAGCACTGTTTTGCCCCTAGTTAGTAAAAAATTTCTGCGTTGCAGGCAAATTTTTTAAAAAAACAGTAAAAAAAAAGCCGTTTTTGGACATTTTTTAGAACATTTACGCAAAAAAAATTGCGTTTTATTTTGAAGCACGCTCCCCGTCAAAGTTAGTATATATTGGCGCCAAAGGCGCCTTTGGAAAAATTTTAGGGTCGGTCGGCCAAAAAAGGATTTCTGAAAAAGTATCAAAGGGGGACCCTTTGGGTCGCAAGGGGTCGAATCCGCGAAGAAGGGGGCGTCCGCGCCCCTCCCCCCCCCCCCTAAATCCGCCCCTGGCTATACGGGAACAATAATTTTTTCAAGACTATTCGGTAACGATTTTGTTTTTCGCCCATCCGGGAAGGAATTTATTTTTTCTCGGCTATTTGGCCAATCAGCTCAGTGACATGCCACCTTCCGGGCTAAGTTAACATCCTCCTCCCTGAACACGTTTAAGGGGAGGATATTAACTTGGTTCTAAGTGCTCTAAGAGGATGCTAGCTTGATCCGCCCTTTCTATTGCCGCAAAACGCACGTGGAAAATTAAACTGGACTAGTAATAATTCCAAACACAATTGAGTCAAATTTATTGATCCTAACTTTCTGTTACCAGACAAAAATCAAGTTCTTCTTGTCATCAAAGAAGCTGGACAACTAAATTTTGAAAAAAGATTTCAAATGAACAATTTCTCGAGGGGGGGGGGAGATTTTCTCGAGGGGGGGGGGCGGGTTTTCAAAAAAACTTCCAAAATTTTGACGACTTTTTTTTAGGTCGACTAAATTGATTTTTCGAGCTCTCCTATAGCACTGTTTTGCCTCTTGTTAGTCAAAAATTTCTGCGCCGCAGGCAAATTTTTGAAAAAACAGTCAAAAAGCCGTTTTTGGACATTTTTTGGAACATTTACACAAAAAAAATTGCGTTTTTTTTGAAGCACGCTCCCCGTCAAAGTTAGTATACATTGGCGCCAAAGGCGCCTTTGGAAAAATTTTAGGGTCGGTCGGCCAAAAATGGATTTCTGAAAAAGTATCAATGGGGGACCCTTTGGGTCGGCAAGTGGTCGAATCTCCGAAGAAGGGGGCGTCCACCCCCCTCCCCCCCCCCCTAAATCCGCCCCTGGCTATACGGGAACA